AATCCACTTCGCCACTGGTCAGTTTGCCGATCTAACCAATAGCGAAGTGGATGAAGCGGGTCAAGTGGATCAAGCGGAACAAGTATGGCGCGTGCCTAAGAAAAAGGGAAAAAGTTCGATATTCCGAAAATGTGTCTGCGCTTTCCACATGATGGTAGTTTATTAGTCTTTCAATGAGAGTTACTAGGACTGTAGAAAGTAAAAAGGGCATGCGTTTCGTCTCATTTTTTTTTGAATTGAGCATCAAAATGGCAAAAAACAGAATTGGTTCTCATGAACGGGAATTTTTTGTCATTTGATGTTCCCTGAAATTTGTAAATTTACCTGATTGTAAGCATTCATTTCGCTGCTCATTCGAGCTGCTTTCTCAAGATGATCCTCATAAGAACTATCCATAGGTTTTCCATTACGTTTTATAGCATAAGCTGTAGGCTGTACTGAATACACGGGACCGTACGGTCGCAAATGCGCCGAGGAAGATCTGAAAAGTTATAGATATCTTTCTCCAGAAAAGTTCTTTCCAAAGTTCTGAAAAATTTTAAAAAGTCAATTTGCGCTTACCTCCTCTTACAGCAAACAAACAAAGCGATTGCTATAAGTAGCATGATCCATACAACAACGATAACACTTGGAATGATGATGGCCATTTCTGGAACGGTAGATTACTGTAGATCGGTATCAATCATTATCATAGAAGGAACTTACTGCTGGCAGCAGCTTCTCGGTCATCGTCTGGCGATACTGTAGTCGTGCCAGCCGTGACAATATACGGCCGCTTTTGTAGAGGTGGTCGAGTTACCTGAAAGTAAGAATTCGATATCTATTGAGAATGATGCACTTTATAAGGAAATTTTTTCAGTGACCAGCGCGTATTTCTTGGAAATAGAGCATTACAGTCGTTAACAAATGAAATTGAAATTAAGGGTTTCTTGGAAATGAAAAAAAATGGAAAGCGTCAATAAATTTGTTCCTAATCAGCTCATAAGTATAACTACAATTATGCGGTAACAACGAATTCAAAGTCTCCTGAATTTTTTTAGCGAAAACGTTTTTTCAAGTATTAAAAATTTAATGGAAGTTTGCTAATGTCGTTCTCACTCGCCTTGTATTTCACTTACAAAAAAAATTTCGAATTCCTGAATTTTTGAGGAAACATTCAATGGGAATCCATCATATCTTATTAGATTTAATGAATAACTTTGAAAAACAACAATGGAAATGTATTCAAAAAAA